ATAAATCTCATGGGTCATATGATGGACTGCTTAGTGATGTCACTACATACAGTGATGAAAGTGGCAGTCAATTTCAGTTTGTTTACCGTAGCTGACCTAGAGGTTGCTTTCTTTAGCCTAGACTTCCCATGGTCTGGACAGAGGCTAAATCTGCCTCCCCAACAGCTTACAAGTCCATGATGTCATTTCCACTTTCTATCATTTTCTAGACAGAGAAAGAAACATCAGCTCAGTTGTCAATTTAGGAAAACCCAAGACTCGCCATTTCCCATTCCTGGAAAATGTCCTTGCCTGAGGCATAGTCGATGAATCTAGCCCATTTAAATCTGGAGTCCTAAACATGGCTTCTCCAGATGAAGGAGTATCTTCATATTATATGTAAGACCCTTTCTTTTTGTTTCTCCTTACACTCTGCTTTGCTGTGTAGATATATGTGATATATTGTTTTCTGCATGGGATACTTGTATATATGCATATATAGTTTTGTGTATGTCTTAGTGGTATAAAAGTCTCTGTGAGAAGAAAGTATGTTTGTCATTCCTTTTTCCATGAATTTTTCCATGGATATAATAATGACTATAATGGGGGAAACAAATGAGAGAATAAATCTTTCTATCATAGCTCTCTCCTGTTACAGCCTGATAAAGAAAGGATTAAATGAAAAAAGGAAAAAATTCTGATGCTGACTCATTTGCTCAAATTTTAGGAAATGAGTCAAGCTGCGAACTTTTCAGGACTTGGGTATAAATCGATGTTTAATGAAACATAAAATGTTTGCATTGATTTTTAAACATTGATTTGATCAACATCTGTCAGTAAAGTAAAAAACCAATATCACAAAGTTTCCCCAATCCTTGACTGTTATCTGCTATTCTTTTGCCCACCCAGACTAAACACACATAGTTATCAGGTTTAGTTTAAGAGCACAGATAATACCAACAGATGTTAAAGAAATGCAATTTCACTTAAATAAAAATAATAAAGATTTTATAAAAAAATGTATTAAAAAAAAAAAAGAAAAAAATTTTAAATATTTTTTTAGCAAGATTAGATAAATAACTTAGAACAAACAATTCTCAGTATCATCATTTCACGATAAAACTTTTATAAAAAAAGTAAATAAAAAAATACGAGGATTAGTCAAAAAGCAATGACAATTCTTCTTTAATTACAACAGTTTTTATAATAAAAAACATGCAATGTATAATAAAATGAACATAAAAGTATCAGAATTAAAAATCTTAGTTATCTTCTCAATCATGGTATTCCACCTTTGAATGAAGGTACGTATTATAGAAGCCTCTTGACTGTTTTCTTAACTATTTACAAGTTGTCTCTTTTCACCGCTGTTCTCTGTATGCTTTCTACATGGTTCTAAATACAAAAAAATCTTAAAGGTACTCATTAAGGACTCCAGAAACTCTTGCACAGAAACCACTCTCTACTCCTTCAAAGAGCCAAACAAAAACTAATACCTGTTCTTCTTGAATTACAATGAATTTAATGGTACTACTATAATACGATATCTACCATCCATTTTCTACTATATTATGATATCTACTATTCATTCTCTTCTATGATATGATATTTACCAACTGTTGGAAGTATGAAATATGTTAGGGTTAGAGGTTAGGGTTAGGGGTTAGGGTTAAAGGCAGCGTAAAGTGCACTGGTTACGTATTAAAATCATTAACAAAAATCATCAAATAGTAATTTTAATATTTGTAAATTGATTTAATGTCATTTAAAAAAAAAACAGTAAAAAGGCCATCGTTTTTCCTAAGCATTTTCCAGCAATAATGAATGCATGTTCATTTACAGTAGGTCGTAAATGCCTCGGTAGATATAGTAACACTGTGCTTTATCTATGTAGTATGCGTATGATCTTAGGCGGGGTTTGTTATAAAAAATGATTAGGGGAAAATGTCATGAAGCCATTTCTGACCTTAGGTCACTGGATGAGAGCCGGAAGTAAATGTGTATACTTTTGAACACAGTTTTATGGCTTCAACTACCGATAAAATGTATTGTTGGTCATTTTGCTATAAAATGTATTCTCGGTAAATCTTCTATAAATATATATTGCTATCTGTCTATATTTCTGAGATGAGGTATTATGTACACTATTTACATTGTTCGAACTATCATCCTCATCTTTGTTGCATATTTATCATAATGTTTTGGTTGTTGTACTCCAGAAGCTCTTGCACAGCAACAACTCTCTACTCCTTCAAAGAGCCAAACAAAAACTAATACCTGTTCTTCTTGAATTACAATGAATTTAATGGTACTACTATAGTATGATATCTACCATCCATTTTCTACTATACTATGATATCTACTATTCATTCTCTACTATGGTATGATATTTACCAACTGCTGGAAGTATGAAATATGTCAGAGTTAGGCTTAGGGGTTGGGGTTAGGTGTTAGTTGTTAGAGTTAAAGGCCGTGTGAACAGTGAACTGGTTATGTATTAAAAATTATTAACAATTTTTTAATCATTAACAAAATTTTTTTAAAAATAATCTAAGAGTGATTTTAATGTTTGTAAACTGATTTGATGTCATTTAAAAAAAAAATAAAATAAAATAAACAAACAGATCATTATTTTTCCTGAACATTTTCCAGCAATAACAAGTGCATCGTCATTTATGGTAGGTCACAAATGCCTCAGTAGTTATCATACTCTAGTAGCAATGACTTAATAGTAGAAGTACACATTACACACTCCTTCTTGGTCTTTTGAACAGGAGTAGAGGTTTATTATCCCTTGTTTTCTATTTAGGATTGGCTTTCTAGTTCCTTCTAAAGTCTGCTTCAGCTCTGTGGTGAATCTCATTATGGTGAGTAACCAATGCATTTAATGTGTTGCTTTGTGTATTATTGGAATGTGGAATATTTAATAAGAAAAGTGATGGAAACAAAGGAAGAGTATCTAAATAAAGTTGGCTAGATTATATACCCAAAACACATATTTCAAAGAAAATTATTCTTGCATTTGAAATTCTCTGCATCTCTCTTGTTTGTGTGCATGTATATTTGCATCAAGGTAAACAAACTTATTTCGATGAAATCCTAAACGATGAAAAGCGTCACATGAAAGCTTTTTCCACTTTACACTATTTACATTGTTCCGACTGTTGTCCTTATTTTTATTGCCATATTCAAAATTCCAACTTATATCACCTGAAGAAGGCCAGCATATACAGCAGCCGAAACATTGTGAATATGGCAATAAAGATGAGGACAACAGTCTGAATAATGTAAATAGTTATAATACCTCACCTCAGAAACTTTGTCATATTTCTTTCCCTTAAAATGTTCGATAAAATAATTAATATTTTTATCATATATATATATATATATATATATATTTATTATATATATATATATATATATATATATATATCTCAAATGGATTAAGTCTGACAATTATTTAATACTAGCAGTAGAGCCCGGCGTTGCCCAGGGATGTAACCGTAAGAGATAGATCAAGTATCAACCATCATAAAGACTGAAAAATAAAATTGACAAAGATTATTGTTTAAGGTTGATGGACACGCATGTCTTAATTAGTTTTTTTTTTTTTTTTACGAATTGGTCAAACTCAAACAAAAACATTGTTTTCAATCGTTATGAGTCTACCGACTGAATAGAATTTTATTATAAACAATTGTCTTGTAAATAGAATTTTTAAAGCATTCTGAATGTAAAAAAAAAGAAACACTACCTGCCAAAAAAAGTGAAGTTTTGTTGAAATCGGTTGAAAAATCTAGGAAATCTGATCCCATATATAAACGAACACACACACACAAACAACCTGGGTTTTATAATAAGTGTAACTCGATATGAGTTGTCCCCCTTTCATTTTTGTGATGCCTCTTAATCGTGTTTTCAAATTGATTTCTTGCAAAAACAATTGTGTTTTTCCAATTTTGGGCGCTGTCAGAACCACCACAATGTAATTTTACATAGTCCTGTGAAGTTTCGTTGAAATCGGTTGAAAAATGTAGGAAATCCGATCCAATATATAAACGTACAGACACACACACACAATCTGCGTTTTATAATAAGATATTTTCTGTTTATACATTATTCAATACATAAAATTTTTTTAAGTAAATGCTCTGTGTTTTTAAATAAACAGTATTAATTTCATTTACCAGCCTGAATATTCAAGAAATTTCGTAGAAAATATGCATTCTCCAACAGGAATTGAACCTGTGTCCTATATGGAACCATCAAATGATCTGACGTGCTATACCACTCAGCTAGAGAGAAAGTGTCTGGTTAGCAAAGTCCAAATTACTGTTTATAAACAACAAATCTTCAATATGCTTTCGTGAAGGCACGTTTTGTGAGCAGATATGATTGTTCGGGAATGACCATGAAAGATCCATTGTTTATAAACAATAATTTGGACTTTGCTAATCAGACACTTCTCTATAGCAGAGTGATATAGCACATCAGATCATTTGATGGTTCCGTACAGGACACAGGTTCGATTCCTGTTGGAGAATGCATACCTTCAGGCTGGTAAATGTTATTAATACTGTTTATAAAAACAGAGCGTTTACTTAAATTGTATCTATTAAATAACAAACAGAAAATGTGTGTGTGTGTGTGTGTGTGTGGCACACTTTACTAAGACTACAAAGGACAAAAAATTGTGAAGAATAATAATGATTGGCAACATCCTTAAGGGAGAGAGCGCCTCAAAGAAAAACATCAGGTAGACTGAGAACTACCCTGGCAGATATGTTTGTAGAAGCAAATTCCAATATATTTAATAACTGACTGCACTTGTTTTGATAATAGAATCCAAAAAACTTATTTGTATGAATTCTATTGAGAAAAGAATTTTTTTTTTTTTTTTTTTTTTTTTTTAGGCAGGTAAAACTGCAAAACATGCATATTCACTTCCTGAATATTTATTTTTTTTAAATTTAAGAAGAAAATTTTGATTCAGGAAACATGCTCTAACTTTGAAAAAGTTGCTAGGAAGAAGAATAAAAGGAAAATGTGAAAGAATTAAAAAGATAAAAAAGAAAGCGAGAACGAATTATAGGAGAAAAACTAACAATAAAATAATAAAAAAAAAAGAGAAAAAAGAAATGAAAGTGAGAGAGAGTGTGAATTGAAATCCACTAAAGAGGAAAGAATCAATTAAAATGGGGCGTGGCGGGGGGGGGAGGGGTTAAACTGACAGATGGGAAACAAAACTGACAGCTTCACTGGCATCATTCCATGTAAAAAGGAGTGAAGAAAAGCATTTATCAAAATATTATCATAGTATTTATTTAAAAAGATGAAAATTGTGTGTGCATTGAAGTGTAAAATAAAATCTCTCATATGAGAATTAGTTAGAGAGAGAGAGGAGGAGGAGAAAGGTATGGAAAAAGAGAAAGGGAGAGAAGAACACATGAAGAGAGAGAGGGGAACATGTGAAGCAAGAGAGAGATGAGAACACATGGAGAGAGAGATAAAGAGGAACTTGGAGGGAGGAAGGGAGGGAGAGAGAAGTGGACACGTGAAGAGAGAGGAGAGAACATGCAGAGGGAAGAAGAGAGACAGAGAGAGTAACATGTGGAGAGAGAAAGAAACACACGAAAGGAGAGAAGAAAAGGGAGAAACACGCAGAAGGGAGGGAGATGGAGGAACGCTCCGAAGAGGGCGGGGAGACAGAGAAAGGAATGCTCCGAAGAGGGCGGGGAGACAGAGAAACGAACGCTCCAAAGAGGGCGCGGAGACAGAGAAAGGAACGCTCCGAAGAGGGCGCGGAGACAGAGAAAGGAACGCTCCGAAGAGGGCGCGGAGACAGAGAAAGGAACGCTCCGAAGAGGGCGCGGAGACAGAGAAAGGAACGCTCCGAAGAGGGCGGGGAGACAGAGAAAAAGGAACGCCCAAGAGGGCTGGAGACAGAGAAAGGAACGCTCCGAAGAGGGCGGGGAGACAGAAAATTTGCGCTCCAAGAGGCGGGGAGACAGAGGAAGGAACGCTCCGAAGAGGGAGGAACACTCTGAAGAGGGAGGAGAGGGGGAAACACTCTGAAGAGGGAGGAGAGGGGAAACACGTGAAGAGGGAGGAGAGGGGGAAACACGTGAAGAGGAGAGGAGAGGGGGAAACACGTGAAGAGGGAGGAGAGGGGGAAACACACGTTGTTGTGGTTGTGGATGGTAGCAAGAGGCTGACCTACCCTCCAGGATCTAGTAGCAAGGTCATATTCACAATAATTGATGGAGGGAGTTGCAGGGAATAAACAGACTGTAGATTGAAATGCAAAGAATGTGGCTCATCTTGTGCTTCACGCCAACAAGTTTCAATTCAGAGTTTTCTTCCTGGGCGGATAAAGCTTATTAGCTGTCTTAATGGTCATCTATCTAGGAGAAGAACACTCCACTTTGACCTCATGACAATATCTAACCATCTAAATGAATGCCACATTGAATATTGCATTGTGTTACCAACCTATTAATAACAACTAAAAAATTGATAACAAAATCAATTTTTTAAAATGAATTTTTAATGGCATATCAAATCTCTAGAGTCATTTTATGCTAAAACCGATTTATCTTGATTTATATTTAGGGAAAACGAAAAAACTGTTTTTTTTTAAATTTTCAGATATAATCCAACTGATTTCAGGAATGTTATAATTCTATTTATTTTAATATTTTCAAATAGTTCTTTTAGGTAAACTTCAAGACAATTTCTTCAAGGCATCAAGATCAATGCATTCAATTAGAAAATGTTTTATCTTATATTTTGGTTTGGTATGTAGGACACCATCATGGTTCTTGTTTCAGCAAGAATGAATGAATAATTTTAGTGTGACCAATTCATAGTCATGTTATAGTAACCTCTCCTCTTTGGGATTTTCCATAATGGCATGTTTTTTTTTCCCTGGGGGATGGTAAGAGTGTATTTAGTTTATTTTGCACTTTTCTGCTCCATTGTTCTTGCCATTGATTCTGCATGCGTTTCTTAATTCCTACAAATTTAGTACAGGAAATAAGGAAATTGAACACAGAATATAGGCTGTGCTGGGGGTAGTTTTGCAATACTGCAAGTTACTACAAAGCCAAAACATTAATCTTCATGTCTTTAAACACTCTTGTCAGATTAAGACTTCAAATGGCTGGTTGATTGATTGATTGATTTTCTAGCAGATATCAACACCTCTATGGGTTATTTAATGCTAAAATCTTAATATTTTGAACACAATATTATGGCTTCAACTAAATATTTTTTGGACGCAATTGCATGCCTTCAATTACAGATAAAATATATTGTTGCTAATTCTACTATAAATAGGTATCATTGGTTATTTTGCTATAAATAATAGATATTTTTCATAGTTATTTTGTTTTTGTTTGAGGGTTCACTATTTGCCCATAGCTGAGATCCTTACAAATGCTACCACTCAGTCAGGGTAGACCTGGGAGCAACAGACTTCTTAAATCTCCAATCTCCCAACCAGAGGACGTCCTGCTGAATGTATTTTAGCCTTGGGGGAAAAAAAAAAGAAAAAAGAAAGAAAGTAACCTATAGAGACAACATTCTTGTAAAAATTGGTAAGAATACTAAGGTACATGATGAAAATTCGAGATGATTTGCTGTTATTTGAACACTAGTGAAAGCCATGAGAGAACTGATCACAACTCTCAACTTCCTTTTATAATATATGAATAGCCATGAAGAAAGATAACAGAGTGGTTTCCTATTGCCTTTTCTGCAAGGCTAGCTGTTCTACCAAGGTTAAAGATCCATGTCTACTCTCCTACTATTTTAACTACAGCTAGAGGGTGGGGTGAGTGAAGAGATGCATTCATGCTTTTGATAAGGGTATCAGTGCAAAGTAAACACAAACTGTCTTAGCCAGAATTTGAACTCTGCTCACTGATTCCATTTCCAACTCCAATAAGTATTATGTTACCTGCACCTCCTGCCTGAAACAACTGATGTGAAAATTCATACAAAACTAACAGCAGTTCTAATGCTAATATCATCTCCAAGCTTTCTTGACTTTAGATAAATAATCTCTTAAATGAAGAAAATGCTTCTCCGAGGAGGAGTATTTCTAGAGAGCAACATCACTAGATCGGCTGAGCATAAATTTCTGCATGCACGCTTTTCAGTCTCGTTAGTTTTACAGGCTTACTGGAGTTACAGATATGTTTATATAGGACTTAAGAAGCAACCATTTCTAGTTATGAAGAGGCAGATCAGCAGACATGGTAACAAAATGATTCCAGAAAGCAACAAGAAATAAAAAGGTAGGAGGAGGAAGAGGAGAGAGAAAAAAAAGAAAAAGAAATGAAGTGCAAAATTTAGAAAAAAAAATTATTTGAAAATATGTAGAAATGAAAAGAAAAATGTGAAGATTATATAAAAAAAAAAAAAAAAAAAAAAAATGAGAAGCTTTTAAATGAGATGAACATGGTGGCTGATTTGTGTTCAGCACACATTAAATAAAATGAAAAAAAATAATTTAGAGAAAATGAATGACTGTTCTTGGGAAAGGTAGTGGAGTGGTTTCCTATTGTCTTTTCTGCAGTTCTAAATTCTGACTTGTCTTTCTCCTACCAAAGTTAAAAGATCCTACTCTACCCTCCTACTATTTGACAGTGGCTGATGTGGTATACATTAAATAAAATTTAAAAAAAAAAAAAAAAAAAAAAAAAAAAAAAAAAAAAAAAAAAAAAAAAAAAAAAAAAAAAAAAAAAAAAAGAAGGAATTGAGAAAGGGGAGAAGCTGAATTCAAATGCCACAATATGCTCCCACCCACTTCCCAAAACACAAAAAAAAACACAAAAAAAAAAAAAAAAAAACAGTTGGACCTAGATTGATATTGATTAATAATATTTAAGTAGAGCACTGTAGCAATGGAACTAAAGAGGAAAACAAAAGATGTAGGTGTGGTGGGAGAAGGAAAGACAGGCAAAAGGAGTGAGTGCAAACTGAAGTAGAGGGGAAGTTCAAACATTTGAGAGAATAAACCTTTATCGGTGGGGGGGGGGTAGGACAAGGAGGTAGAAAAGGTGTCATAAATAAAAAGCAGCATCTGGAGTAACTGGGACAAAAGACAAGTAGCAAAGAGGACAGGGACTAGGAGTAGGGCAACAAACTGTAAAACAAAAACAAAAAGGAATATATAAAGGGTGAATAAATAAGTGTATAAGCCATTAAGAACAATAGAGAAGTTACAAGAGTAGTATTATTGCCTGACATGTAATGGTGATTTAATGTGGGTTATCTCTAGGTAACTCCACTGATTCGCTAAAGAATGAGCATGCCATGATGAAAAAAATGCCCCAAACTTAATAAAAACAAAGTTTTATAGACAATATTTTATTTAATGAGATAATATTAGAATGCTTAAAATATTTTAAGTTTTAAATGATTACTGAGTAGTTAAAAATAAAATTATTTAAAAAAATAAAAAAAAGAAGGTATTTATGTTATATTTGTCATGTAATTTTATAACAATTTTTTTTACCAAGATTTTCTCAAAAGAGAAATGTTTCTAAAATAAATTAATTTGTGAATAAGCCCTGAAAGTTTCATTTAAAATCTGACAATGATTTGATTTTTGCAAAAAAAAAAAAAAAAAAAAAAACCCGCTAAAGTTTCAAATACTAATTTATGGTCATTCGCTGATGCAAGAAAAATCTTCTTAACCAAAATTTTGAAGGTTTTAAAAATATATATTTCAGCATCTATCTATATTTCTCAGATGAGGTATTATTTACATTATTCGGACTATTGTCCTCATCTTTGTCGCCATATGTATTACGTTTTCGGCCGTTGTACACTCCAGCCTTCTTCAGTTGGTTGAAATTTCGAACTGAACCTTTTATTTTGCTCACTGGGGTAGACTGTTCTAGTTCCATGTGCCATGTCTAATGGATGTCAGTTATACCCTGTTAATTCCCCTCTCAAAGTTCTCCACCACACTAGAACTGTCTACCCCAGTGAGCGAAATAAAGGGTTCAGTTCAATATTCCAACCACCTGAAGAAGGCCAGAGCATACAATGGCCGAAACATGATAAACATGGTGACAAAGATGAGGACAATAGTCCGAATAATGTAAATAGTGTAAATATATTTTAATAATAAAAAATAATCCTTCTGTCTTTCCACTTAATAATAACAGATTTTGATGACAAAACTTTGTTTTTATTAACTTTAAACATTTTTTTCATCATGTATGCTTATTTTATAATAAATCTTTGGCAGTACTTAGCAACAAGTAATATTCATTTTTTAAATCTACTCAAGTAATTATCGACTCATTTTCAATGATTTCTATAATAGATACTTTTTGAGATTTTTTTAATTACATTTTAATTATGTCCTCCTTAGATAAATTTCCCAAATGTCAGGTTGTCAATAAATGTGGCAAAAACTCATAAAAACACCCATTGTCATGTTAAAAATGCTTTTCTGCAATATTTTAAATTAAAAGTAATTCAGCATAATTAAGCTTTAAATCTGCTAATTTTACTCAAATAATGTTTTAGAAATGTATATTTTATTTTTGAAAGATTTTTTTAATAAAGAGAATTAGATTGTGTTGACACATTTGTCAATATGGACGATTTTATAGATTTCACTGATAATCAGAATAAAGATTAATTCCAATCAATTTTAAAATGTATTTTAAACCTTCGGTATCACTTCTTTTGAGAAGCTTCAATATAAGCAAAATCAACATGCACAGAAATTTTTTTACATATGTAATTTTATAAACAACAACATGCCCCAAAGAGGAGAGAAAAATATTTCTCTGTATAGATAAATAGTAGTTTTAAACAATGTAAATTTATGTCTACCTGCCTGTACACTTGAGAGTCTTAATAAAGAAAATATAATTTTCAACAAGATTCAAGCCTGCATGCATACCCCTTGTAGAAGAAATCATTATGATCAACAAGTTTTTAGACTTCTCAACCACAGAAGACTTTCACAATACCCTATTTTAGAAAAATGCTCATCTGTTCAGATTTCTCAAAACTCATATCTGTTAACTTTTATTCCGATATCCAAAATGTAAACATAGTAATGTCTAAGGCAGTGGTTCTCAAACTTTTTGAAATCAGAGTGCACTTGAAATCCTACCAATAATTGTAGGTGTACTATATACAAATTTCGGAAAAATGTTATAATGAAGTCAAATATTGCAAAAAAGAAATAATGCAATAAAAAAAAATATATATATAATGAAACATGCCTTAAGTTTATTCATTCTTGTTTATGAGAAACATGAACCTGATGAATCTTAGCAATTTCTTCAATGTTTGGGCGTATATTTGATAGGCAAACTCATTTCCTCTTCAATACATTGAAGAGTTCTTCTCTTTTTGTATTTAATTGTGATGAGAGCAGAAAAGACTTATTCACATAAATATAAATGAGATAGGTGTCGCAATAAAGTAAATATATTTATTTCTTATATCTGGATACATATTTCTCTGGAAAGCCAGGGATCACCTAGACATCTTCCAGGGCATATCAGTGCACCCAGGCACACCATTTGAGAACCACTGGTCTAAGGAATTATCTTATTTAGAATTCCACACCATTTCTTATTACTTTAAAACATTTCATGGAAACCCGTGTTTGAGTAGATATCCTATTGTTTAAACAACATATAGACCAAAAGAGGAAATAAAAATACTTGTGTTGGATCCAGATTTTTTCAAAAAACATGCACCAAAATATAACTGTGGTATTGGACACAGGGTATCATGTATGAAAGTGATATGAAAATCATGAAAAAGTGAGGTTCACTTTAGCTTAGCTCTGAAACTAGGACTCGTGAAAATGAACAAATATGATATCAATAAAAATATCCCTGAAAAATTCACCCAAGAAAAAGAAATTAATTTATGGAATTGCACAATATTTTGCTGTTTGTTTTGTAGAAATACCAGATTTTACAGAAATATCTGCTTTGACTGGTATATTGCTGTTGGCTTTGTGTGTATTTTTGCTGTTATACAGGTAATGAAATTTGCTTTTCTGCATGTATGGTATGGAACTTCATTTAACAAGTACCATATTTCCAGGGTTTTTTTGTCTATTACCATATATACCAGTGTTCACTGATACCAAAATATTTCTTTGTAGCTATTATGAATTTACT